AAAACACTGAAGAAAATGTTCCACATTGTTAGTTATCAGAGAAACGCAAATTGGAAACAGACAAGATGCCCAACAACTGATGAATAGATAACAAAAATGTGGTACATTTATACAATGGAATATGATTCAGCTATTAATAAAAATAAAACTATAAAATTCACAGGTAAATGGATGGAACTGGGGAAAAAATATCCTGAATGAGGCAAATCAGACCCAGACAGACAAATATGGCATGTTTTCTCTTATATGTGTATGTTAGTTGTTAAGCTTTCAATATCTATGCTACAATCTGGATAACCACAGAGATCAGGTACCTAATAAGGGACCAGGGTAGGAGGGGAGAGTCTCCTAAGGAAGGGGAAGGAGAATAGAGTGTTATGAAGAGATAGGTGGAAACAGATAAGAATATTAACTGGGAGGGATAAGAAAGTAGGGTAAAGGAGGGAACATGGGGAGGGACAACAAACATTAAAAGCCATTTGAAAAATGATATGGAAAACTTCTACTACCCTAGAAGCTTTCTAACATGTGTGTGTGTGTTTGTGTGTGTGTGTTATATTCTGTGTATATATATGTAATCTAAATTGAATTACCAATAATAGGGGACAGAATGACTCAACTAGATGTCATATTCCACCAAGTAAAACCTCCAGTACTGGAAGTCATTTGTATCTTGTTGAGTCATTGGCCATAGAGGTCCCATAAAGCCCCATAAATATCATAAGTTATTGAGAAGGCATTCGATTGCTCTGTTTATGAAGAATATATATATATATATATATATATATCACTGAACACTGACGGGGATTGACTGAAGTATTTGAACGCTTGGCCTGTAGGGAGTGGCACAATTAGGAAGCATGGCCTTGTCAGATTATGGGTGACCTTGTTGGAGGAAGTGTGCCACTGTGGAGGCAGGCTTTGTGGTCTTATGTGCTCAAACTATGCCTAATGGTGCAGTCTCTTTCTGCTGCCTGCAGATCAAGAAGAAGAACTCTCAGATCTTTCTCTAGCACCATCTCTGCCTACATGCAGCCATGCTTCTCACCAGGACAATAACAGACTAAACCTCTAAAACTGTAAGCCAGCCCCAATTAAATGTTTTCCTTTCTGGGAGTTGCTATGGTCAGAGACAGCTGACCTGAGCTCATGAAAGCTCATCAACTCTGGATCAATAGTTAGGGAACCTACATGGTACTGATGTAGGCCCTCTGCATGTGTGTGATGGTTGTGTAGCTTGCTCTGTTTGTGGGGCTCCTATTAATGGGATCAAGACCAGTCCCTGGTGCTTGCACTGGCCTTCGGAAACCTATTCCCCATGCTGGGTTACCTGTGGTGAGTGAGAATGGTCCCTTAGAGTCATATATTTTAGTACTTGGTCCTCAATTGGTGGAACTATTCGGGAAGGATGAGGAGGTGTGCCCTTTGAAAGAGCTGTGTTACTGGGGGTGGGCTTTGGGGTTTCACATCTTTACCACTCTCAGTGTTCTTTCTGCCTCCTACTTGTGGGGTGAAACTCAAGCTCTCAGCTGTTTCTACCAGAATTCCTTTGTTCTGCCGTCATGGGCTCTGACCCCCGGAAACCATAGGCTTTCTTTTATAAGTTGTATTGGTTATGGTGTTTTATCACAGCAATAGAAATCTTTTCTAAGATTTTGATTTTTTTCTAAGGAGCATTAATCAAGTGCTTTGAAGAATATTCCTCACTTTGGCTTTGTTTCATGGTTAAATGGTTATAGTTCAAGGGAGGACCACAGAGAAAAGTGCTGTGCTCATCACAATACATTCAGGACACACATTGTCACTGTAGTTTCCTTCCAGATCCTCCTCACCTCCATAGCTACCCAACTCTTTATGTTCTTTCTCCCTTATTCTTTAAAAAAAGGAAGGAAGGAAGGAAGGAAGGAAGGAAGGAAGGAAGGAAGGAAGGAAGAAAAAATCCACAAAATTGAACATCAAAACAGACAAAATACTACTATGACAAAAAAAGCCAAAACAAAGTAATATGACACATATGTCTACAAAAGCACTGTTGCATTTATATTTTGTTGGCCATACTGCACCTGCAATGCAAGATGAAAATATCCTTCAAATGCATATGAAATACTTACTAAAATTGACAGTATTCAAGGTCATGAAGCTGGTCTCAACAGATTTTTAAATACTGAGGTAATAAAATGGTCTTACACTAGACTGAGCTGTATTAGGAATCAGTAATACTTGCCATGACCTGTATGACTTTGGTCTGGACCGGACTGGGGCAACTGGGATTGAATAGTCACAAGTAATGTCGAGCTGGGACCCAGTGAGCCATGTACTCATGCGCAGATGCAGTAGAGAAGCACATTGCGAGCTTATTATGTGCAGCTGCATGAGGAGAGGTTAGCTAATCTCAGTAGGGGATCTCTGCAAGGGAGCAGTCTCAGGATGTAATCTTCTGGGAAGAGGAAGCTGTGGCTGATACTGTCTGGACACATTGCACAGCGTTACACAGCGAAAGGCTTCGCCGTCCCCCTGAGCTTGACCTAAGGAAGGTTTTGTCATTCCTGTGGGTCTGAGACAATGGGATGCATGACAGGGTCATACTCATGTGGACAATACACATTTACTAGGGACTTCATCGACTCTGAACAAATAACATTACTAGAAACTTAGAAGTGTTTACATGTATTGATATTGACTGAAAGTACCCAAGGGCCTGGTGATATAAACTGTTTTCTAACTGCTCTGGAGGTTGAGAAAAAAAGGATCAAAAACAAGCTAAAGGCTTACCTAAACAATTTTGAGAAACCCTGACTCAAAATTAAAAGGATGGTGGAATAAAAAATTGGAATTAGAGTTCAGTAGTAGAGCATTTGCTTAGCATGCATAAAAGTCTCGGTTTAATCCACAGTTCTTCACACACACACACACACACACACAAACGGTGGAAAAGGAAGAAGACACTATAAAACTCGTGCCCTGCTTAACTTGAAACTATTAATGAAATCACATTGTTTGAGAAAATAGTTGAATGTGACTATTTTCAAAGGGAAATAGAAAATTACATAGTCATTCTTCAAAACAGTTGAACTTATAATAAACAATATCCTTCATACACTCTTCTAAGCCTTTAAGGATATTTCAGATATGAACTCATATTTCTTTCTTAAAGATTAATAATGGAGAAGGCTTGTTTATTTATTTACTTATTTATTTATTTATTGGTTTTTTTGGGACAGGGTTTCTCTGTAGTTTTGGAGCCTGTCTTGTAACCAGTTCTTGTAGACCAGGCTGCCCTCAAACTCACAGAGATCTGCCTGCCTCTGCCTCCTGAGTGCTGGGATTAGAAACGTGTGATGTCTCACTATGTTGCCAAAACTGACAATGAGTTCCTGGGCTCAAATGATCTTCTGCTGGAGTCCCAGCATTTGGTTTTTAATTATTGTACATTTATTATTACTTCTTTCAATTAATTTGAAATATATCTCTAAGAAAATGTATATTGCCTCTTGGAGAGAAACATTTGCATACTGTCAAAAAGCTATTTTTTCTCAAGGCCAGTCCCTAAGCCAAAATTTAAAAAAAAATCAAAAAAGTTGGGCGATACGGGTGAGGGTTCCATATAATCATTAAACTTCTAAAGAGTAGGATTACTGGCATTATCTCCAGAATCTGTCAGTTTCGAAGGAAAAGTTAAACACGTGCTGCTCCGGCCATATTGTTAGTCTTCTGTTGTCACTTTAAGAACTAACCACGCCCACCCAGCCACTTCTGACCTCCCCCTTCGCCATCTTTCTCTCTCTCTTGTGTGGTTGCCTCCTGTCGTGTGCACACGTTTCTCTCTGTGTCTCTGTGCCTTTATGTCTTTATATTTGTCTATATTTGTCTCTCTGTTTTTCTCTTCTTTAAGCAATAAATGTCTCCCTCTTCTTTAAATAATACTATGTCCTATGAGCCTTTTATCCACCGTAACTGCCCGCCTGACTCCCCCGGCCGCATGGTGTTGCAGGGACTCACAGCCGTCCTTGCCAGACTCCGCGAGCCGCCCGGGACATCCCATCATCATATTCTTTTTAGAAGAACAAAACATATTATGAACACTTAATAAATAATTCTGATCGGGTATATTAATTAATTAATGGAAATTGAGGCAAATGTTTAGTAAATTAAAGGAATCTAGACTAAAAGATACCTGATTAAAGTTAATGGCAACTTATATAGAAGAAGGTAGATGGGAATCGTGGAACACACCTAATTCCCAACCACTCTGAAAGCGGAGGCAGTGGGATCCCAACTTTGGAACCAGCCAATATTTCGTGAGACCCTGCCTCAAAAGAAAGACAACTGGGAATACAGACCAGTGATAGAAGATTTATAAAGTATGGATGAAGTCCTTAGCTCATTTCCTAATCCTAGTGGGAAGGGATATATGGAATACCAATTGTTCACAAAGATAGGAAAATATTTAAAATCTACTGGAAAGGGTACACTATTAAAATTGAGAAAGGTAAACCAGACAGTGGTGGTGCACACCTTTAATCCCAGCACTTGGGAGGCAGAGATAGGCAGATCTCTGTGAGTTGGAGGCCAGCCTGGTCTACACAGTGAGTTCAAGGACAGCCAGGGCTACACAGAGAAACCCTGTCTCAAAAAAAAAAGAAAAGAAAAGAAAAAGAGAGGAAGGAAGGAAGAAAGAAAGGAAGGAAGGAAAGAAGGAAGGAAGGAAGAAAGGAAGAAAAAAAGAAAGAAAAAAGAAATAAAGGCCAGCTTCAGTTGCATAGCAAGTTCAAAACTAGCCTGGTCTGTGCAAGACCCTGTCTCAAAAGTAAAAATAAAAAACATACAAAATATTTATTAATAGCAAGTCACAAAGAATTCTATTTTATGATAATCCTTTGGTATATTTTGGTAATTTTTGTCATTTATTAAAAAGAAAAAATTATCATTTTAATGATTAGTTATTCTTATAAACAATTAAATCTTGGCTGGATATTCAACACTACAGATGTAGAACACTGTCAATGCTTTCCAAATGCTTTTATTTCATAATCATCACTGCTGAGAAACACCACTTCACATAAATTCATAGTACAAAATGGAAAAAAAAAACCAAACAAACTGTTCAGGGCCATTGCAGAAATTCTGTTCCGATCCTGATTTATCTTCATTTAACAGCTTTTGTGAGCCTCAAGTTAGCAAACAGTAATTTTAAAACTCAAACGTTCCAACATAAGACAATCCATAGACATAGTAACTAGGTATTTACACGCTGAAGAATAACAGGAAGAAAATATGGAATTATGCTTTCCATTACGTTTCTGTAAGGTTAAGACTGTGTGCGCAGAAAAAACACTGCAGTTCATAATTTACAACCACCTGGAATCTGAGCCATTTCCAGAAGTATCTGTGGATGTCGCTGCTCAGTATGAGCATCACGCGGTGCCCGGTGTGGGTGGAAAATTCAGCACCAGGAAGACAGTGAAGCTGCGAAGAGGGGCACGGCCGAGCACTGCCAGGCACGGGTCAGCTTCAGTCTATGCCTAAGGTTGGAATAATTTGTAGTTGTCAGAAACACCGCACTGCGGCCAAGCTACTCACAACCCCCACACAGCCCACACGGGATCAGATCAGGCTTAACAAAGCCATTGTCTGGCCCTCTGCTGTATGCAGTGTGGGTTCCGGACCAGGGGAAGCAATATTACCTGGGCTCCTCTCACAAATGCAGATTTGTCTTTTAACAAGACTCCAAATAGATCATTATACACTAACATCTGGGACTCCGTGCTTTAGCGGAGAAGGTCATCACCTCACACAAAGCAACTCGAACAGCTTCAAACCGCTGGTGTTTTTATTTCTTCCGATGCTGATTTTTTTTTTTATTGAAACTGTTTTAAACATCAGAAGTTCATTTATGAAATTTAATTTTCGTACATCCTTTTAGAGGTTTCAAAGGGCAGTAGTTTATTTTAATGTTTACGCCTTTTCCTTTCAAGAAGGCATTTACTATCCCAAACGAAACTTGTCTTCTTGGATTTTTTTCAACAATGGCCTCTACAAAGCCCTTCAAGGGCAGAGAGTGGGTTTTATCTCTAATTTTTTGTACCTTTTGTTCTGAACAGTAAGTCCAAAGACACAAAGTTAGTCTTCCTTCTCAGGTGCATTGTAGAAAAAGCAAACTTAACTTCTTACTAAAAGCAGCAGCAACAAAAATCTCCGTTTCCTCTTCCTCTGCCAATCCAATCTAGACTACTGCCATAGGCAAGAGAGATGACCCCCAAGTTTTGTTAGGTCTGTCACTACCCGAGAGTCCATTCAATTCTTGGAGCAAATCCGTGAGTGTCCTTTCGCGAGGAGCGCACACTTTTCAGAGTCACACATCTTCTAAATGATGTGTATTTCCTACACTACAGACTGGCGTTGTAAACTCTGCACTCCAATGTGCTAGGTTTGTTAACAGTGACCAAAATAAATATACTGTTTTCAAAATGCAATGAACAATTTTAAAATTCTGGTTCCTCTTTCTGTTAGGAGAGATGTCATTGGTTTGAAAGAAAAGTGTTTGCATTCTGTGATTTTGCCCTCTTCATGCCAGACATCCTTAGCCATTTACTCGTCATAGAAAAGGACAGAGTTTTTCTTTCCCCTCTTTCTACTGATAGTATGGGTATTATAAAGGAATTTCTGAAAGTATTTCTGCCTGGAGTCCCAGAAGTTGAATATAGTAAAAGGTTTTTTTTTTCAAAATACCTTTCATAATACACTCTTATAAGCCTTCAAAGTTGATTTTTTTTTTGGCTAATCTAATTATTTGGCTAATAATCAAATCATCCTGCTTTCTCTGGTCAAATATTCTATCTGTCTGTCTATCTATCTATCTATCTATCTATCTATCTATCTATCTAATCCCCACTTCTCTCCCCTCTCTTATTAACCAACTCCTTAAAAACAATTTTTTCAATACTTTGTTGGAATATGTACTGGAATGATCTGTCCTGTCCCTTTAAGAGACAAGCCCCGTCACTCCCCCAGCCTCCACCTGAAGGCAGGCAGATCTTACTTCCTGCCTGCAGACTAGGTCTCTTCCTTTCTGTCTCTCTCCCAAAGAGGCAGGTTCTGCCTCCCTTCCTTCTCCCCACTTCTCCCTTTTCCCCCTCTCTATGTCTTTCTCTGCCTCTCTGCTCTTCCACCTTCTCCCTTTTTCACCTTCCCTTCCATAACCCACTAAATAAATATCCAACCTCACACTACATGGCGTTCCTATTCATGTCTCTGTCTCTCACCTGCCACATGGCTCCCTGCCAGGGATCAGCTGCCTTCAGAGACTTGTGGCATGGTCTCATGGCATACCTATCGATCCCAGTCTCTCACCTACCATGCAGCTCTGTGCCTAGGACCCACGGTCTCTCATGGCCCCACGGGCCACTCAGGGGGACTCCCTGCCTGGGACCCAGCTGCCTTAGCGGTCTCAGAACCCACTGTCTGCCACTGCTTGGGAACCTGCGGTGTGGTCTCATGGCCCGCTGCCCACTGCCCCCACTCAGGGACCTGCAGCATTTCTGCCCCTGTGCCCCTCGGGGAACCTGTAGCATTTTCATGGACTTTTACTACTTTTCTGTTTTTATAGCCCTAATATAACAAATAAACTTTTAAGAGTATATTGTAGCATAATTCAGACTTTTCTTAGTAGCAGTCTCTGTGAACACACTGCTGGAGTTAATACCATAGCATCTTCTCAGGCACCTTTTCTTGACTGATACAAACGATGAAGTCATTCTTGACGGAGTTAGAAAAAGCCTCCTGACATAACCATCGGACATACTGTTGGATCCCAATTCTAAAACTGTTGTTCCCAGCTGCTCTTCCCCCATACTTACTGTGCCTGCTGCTGGGGCTTACCTGTACCGCCTTGTATTTCTGATTCCATGGGAAATACATTTACCTGCACTATATAAGCCTCTTGAGCTGTAACACTTGATCCCCCAGTTCTCAGCAAAACATCTAGTCTCCCACCACCTTGGTCCTTTTCTGTACTGCTAAACACCTGATCCACCCTTGAACCCCAAAACTATTTGATTTGATCTGTTGATTGGCTTTTGCGTTTTCACTGGCAAAGTGTGTTTCCGTCTAGGTGATTCACAATTGGGAGGGGGAGTTTTCCTAGAGAGCGGAGGCAGCTGCCTAACCCATGGAAACGAGAGACAGCTGCACACTTCAGCCTCTCTTTTACTCCCACAATAAAGTATGTAAAACTCAGCAGGGCGTGTGTTTCCTACATGATCCAATGGCGATTACTTGCTTAGTGCTCTGTTTTGTATTTATTTAGAAATAGCCAAAGATAGCACTGAGTTCTATAAAATAGAACCAAAGTAACCTATACTTCTCTGCATGAGCACAAGATTTCAGAAATAATGCATTACTTTATCCCAAAGAATAATCAGATATATACATTATTCATTCATTATCTTCTACAATCTCAGCTGGTCTTGTGTGCAAGACACAATATACAAACAAAAGCATCCTGATCTTCACAGATTAGAGATAAAAGAACAGACTTCCTAATAAACCTTAACATTTGTTTTTGGTTTGGTTTGGTTTGGTATTTTTGGTTTGGAGAGGCGGTTGGTTGGTTGGTTGGTTGGTTGGTTGGTTGGTTGGTTGGTTGGTTTTTCAGTTTAGTTTGCTTCGTGTTTGTTTTAGAGACAGGGCCTCTTGTAACCTCAAACTCACTATGTAGCCTAGGATGACCTTAAATTTCAGATCCTCCTTCCTCTATCCCATGAATGCTGAGATCACAAGTGTGGCCACCGTGCTCATTTTATTTCGTGCTGGATACAGAATTTATGGCTTTGTGTATGCTAGACAAGCACTCTACTAGAGAGATACATTCCAGCCCTGCTTTGCTTTTAACTAAAATTCCCTCCATTGTATATATTGAGTCTGCTGCTATCTGTTTTTATTTTTAATTTTTAAAATAGATTTATTTTATGTATATGGATGTTTTGCCTTCATGAATTTAAGGGTACCACATGCATGCCTGGTGCCCCAGGAGGTCAGAAGAGGATGTTGGTTTCCTGGATCAAGAGTCACTGTCCATTGTAACTGCCACCTGGGTGATGAAAATCAAACCTGGGACCTCTGGGAGAGTAAACAGTGGTCTCGCCCTCTGGGCCATCTCTCCAGCCCCTGCTATACAGTTTTCAACAAAGGTCACTCTCTTATAGTTACTTTCCTATTGCTGAATTAAAACATCTTAACCAAGGCAAAAACGAGTTTATTGGGAGCTTAACTAGAGAGGATTATAGTCTGTGGTTATCATGGCAAGGAGCCTGACAGCCAATGTCCTCTTCAAAGTCCTGTGGGTAACAAGCATGCATGTGGTACACAGACATACATGTGTTTTGGAATATTTGTTTGCACTGTGAAGACGTGTCTTTGCCAAGGTGCCTTCTGATTGGTTTAATAAAGAGCTGAATGGATCAATAGCTAGGCAGGAAGGGGTTAGATGGGACTTTCAGGGACAGAGAGGGCTCTGGGAAGAAGAAAGGCAGAGTTGCACAAGCCAGAGACAGAAAGAAAACCGGAAGTGCAAGATAAAAGAAAGGTAATGCCATGTGACAGAGCATAGATTAATGTAAATGAGTTAATTTAAGTTATAAGAGCTAGTGGGACCAGCTTAAGCTATGGCCAAGCTTTTATAATTAATAAGAAATCTTCATGTCATTATTTGTGGACTGGTGGTCTCAATAAGAAACTACTACTACATATATGTAAGCAAAACTTTCATGTATGTAAAATAAAATAATAAATCTTAAAAACAATATACCTAGCAGGGAGCTTACCCAGTTCCCAACTGAAAGCAAATATTGGTTGTTGTTCTTGTTGCGGTTCCACATGGGAACTGTGGGGCAGCACTGATGTTGGCCTTGCTTCTTGCCAAGGAAACCATAATCTTGAAGATTCGCAAATCTCCTAAGGACTGGAGGAAAGTCTGGCCAAGGGGCAAGGAGTGAATTTTGGTTAATCTGTGACATTGGTTAAACTAGGTAACAAAAACTCTTAAACAATAGTCCTTAAACATTTAAAATTACCTCAGGAATTCCATGCTGGGGGTGAGAATAGGCTGGAGTCTTGGTGTCAAAGAAGGAACTTGCCTCAAAGGCAGAGATTTCACACAGTTCTGTCTTATCTCATGGCTAAATCAGCATCTGCATATTTCCTTCTTGGTCTTTTTTTTTCTCTCCCTTTTTACAAAATTTTAAGACTGTTACAGGAAAGACTTGAGAGAAAGCAGGACTCTGGTTCTCTTCTGTTTGGTCAAACTATAAACAAACCCCCTTTCCTTTATCAAATTGTCCTTTATCAATTTCTGCTTCCTGATTTCTTTTGAAGTACAGGGAAACTGGAGTGGTGGTTCACATGTTCAGGGGAAGGAGAAAGGTGAATGCATGACCGGAGTACGTCATTCCTGGGCTGTCTCATTGACCTGCGTGTTCATTAGTGCGTTCCCATAGTCTAAGAACACTGAAATTCTCTGGCGTTTTCTCAAATGCTAAGCATGTGGATGTTAACATAACGTAACCTTATAGCTTAATTATAAAAGTGTGCCTACCACAATTTTCATCTCAATGTGATTGTATGTGCCACAGAATCCTGCCCTCTAACTTTCCTAAGAAAAAGAAGCTATTTAAAGCCTTAGTAGGAATCCAGGAGGAATTCCTTTGAGAGTTATAAAGAGATTTTCCTTTCATTTATTCAAGCATTTCACTTTCGTGACGTTGTTAATTTCATGGCAAATATCAGTGACTCTTGAATTTGATCTTGAGGGACAACTCTTAACATGACAGAGAAAGAAACCATCCAAAAGAAGAAGAATGGGCACAACAGAGAAACACAGGCGGGCACAACAGAGAAACACAGGAGGGCACAGCACACTCTGATGGGGCGAAGACCCAGCTGAGCAGAAAGGGTGGCCACAGCCCTGTAGAAACAGACACCAGCTAAACAATAAGGATTTTTAATCCTAGTGATGGCCAGGAGCTATTAGGCAACTGCAAATGACAGAATGACATTATTAGTCAATGTGCTTCTTGAAAAAAACATGCTGTGGCAATAAAAGAAATTATTTGGAAAGTGGTAGTGTACACCTTAAATCCCAGAACTCGAGAGGCAAAAGCAGACAGATCTCTGCGGTTTCCAGGCCACCTTGTCTTCCTAGTTTTATGCCAGCCAGGATTATATAATGAGACCCTGTATCAAAACAAAACAAAACAAAATAATAAATAAAATGAGAATACACTTAAATTACTACATAAATCTAACAAAAGCTGTAAGGACCTGAGAAAGGGAGGAAGAAAAGAAGCGATAGAATGGTAATTAAGACAGCGATTCTCTTTCCACCACTTTGGTGCTTGTGGAAGCCTGCTGGGCATGAGACTTCTAAGTACGTCTGTAAGTCTAACTAGAAATGAGGTCTCCAGAAGCAAAGAGAGCACACGTCTCTTCTTAAAATTGAAGGCGTTTATGCCCAGGTGAAACTGAATTCTATTTAGGCAAGAGATGCGTTTAAATGTATAAAGCAAAACCAACAGTGACTCCTGGAGCAAACCAAACCAAACGAGAGTGGTCTGGGGAAGATAACTCGGGCCCTTGGAAACAGTGACATTGTTCGCGCCAAATTCCAAAGCAATCTTCCTACCTAGGCACTGGACTCAGAATCACGAAATCCATGTGATGCTGTATCCCTCCTGCATTTAAACTACAGGAAAGCACAAAATGAAGCAAAACAAAACAATGTCGTCTGAGGCTGAGTGAATGTGAGAAGGCAGCAACCCAAACTGACCTATGCTGTGTATTAGACAACAATGATAGGCTATTTTGCCATTGAGAGCAGACACTTCTAGAGAGACACGTGTCACCTTATAACAGTCAGGAGATGGCATCTTGGACAGTAATCTTTGGGAGAGTGTCCTATGTCCTGATTGGTAATGGCCCATCCACTTCTGCAGCAATCTTAAACCATCTGAACTGTCAATCTCAGAAAATATGTTATCTGTAGCTGCGAATATTCAGTTGTCCACAGACTGCCACTGCCTCATTCCAACCCTTGAAACAGTAGAAAACTGAGAGGTAGATATAAAAGTCCTGATTTACTTCATAACACACGGATAAAAGACAATGTGGGGCAAGGAAAATGGAAGAATAAGAATGTGCTTCCAGCTGGGTGGTGGTGGCACACACCTTTAACCCCAGCACTTGAGAAGCAGAGGCAAGCAGATCTCTGTGAGTTTGAGGCCAACCTGGTCTACAGAGCTAGTTCCAAGACACCTAAGGCTGTTACACAGAGAAATCCTGTCTTGAAAAAAAAAAAAAAAAAAAAAAAAACGTGCTCGCAACTACCTAGAGAGAAGGGTGTGGAGAGAAAGAAAAGGCACACAGGGGCCACACACTCAACATATAACTTGCATTAAATGTCCTGGCTAGTACAGGACCATGCATAATGAATGTACACAGTGAAAAAAATTAAGACTAACATTTTTAACTGCTCATACATCTAAAAAAAATACATAGATATGAACATATATGGCTTTAAATTAGAAACTAAGTACAAGTGTATGATAGTTTCAGTTGTCAACTTGACAATCTAGAACCACATGAGAAGGGGTGCCAATAAGGATCTGACTAGATTACACGGGGCTGTCTCTATTACATTAACTCACGTGGGGAGACCAACCCACTATGGGCTGCATTCTTGCCTGGGCAGGAGATCCTGGGCATCTAAGAGTGGAGACAGAGTGCAGGAAGCCCACACACATGCATTCACTCACTGTGCCCTGCTTTTGACTATGGCTGTAACGTGCCCAGTTCTACTGAGCTCCCGCTGCCATGATGTCCCTGCCACAATGGACCATAACCTGGAATTGTGAGACAAATAAACACTTTTCCCTGAAATTGCTTTTGTGTGGTATTTTGTCACCGCAACAAGAAGAGAAACTAGAACAAAGTGACTTTCCTTAGTTTAGCTTGGTTTATCACACAGGGTAAGGACAACAATAACTTATTTACATTTGTTTATGACTTTTGTGTAGGAAATGCATACATGCAAGGGTCTGTTGGTTTGTCTGTTTGTAAATTTTTGAGATAGGCTCTCTGTATATAGTCCAGGCTGGCCTCAAACTCATAAGCCTCCTGCTTCCATCTCCTATCTGATAGAATTACAGGTATAGACCACTATGCCAAGTCTGATTGAATCCTTAAAGACACAAATGGTATTTATAAGTACACATTTTTGCAGGCAGCAATGAGAATCCATATGAAGGGAAAAACTAAAGGTGTCTTTTTGCCCTGAGTCAGGACCCTGGAGTGGAGCACTGCACCTTTCTCCAGTTTCCCTGTAGCTTAGAGTCAACAACAGCTGCACAAGGCTCTCTCTCCAATGTACTAGGTTTATAGAAGTAATTTAAGGCAGCAACTCTAATCCCAGAACTCAGGAGGCAATGGCAGACGGCTGTTATAAGTGTGAAGCTAGTCTTGTCTACAACGAGTTCCAGGACAGCCAAAGCTACATTACGAGACTCTCTTTTTCAAAGCAACAACAGCAACAACAAAGTAACCAAGGCTGATTTTTCTGTCTGTTCCTCTTAGAAAAACTGTGTTGGTTGTGCGGCAGTTAGGAGATGAAGGATGCCTATTACTCATTCAGAACAATTCCTGAAGATCCTGCAGCGCTCCACTCCAGGGTCCTGACTCAGGGCAAAAAACACCTTTAGTTTTTCCCTTCATATGGATTCTCGTTGCTGCCTGCAAAAATGTGTAAAGGTGAGTGGAGTAAACTCTTCAGCAACCGCAGAAGGCACAGGGCGTCTCCACTGGATGAGACCAGACAGCAAGGTTTACAGTCGGCAACAGCTGAAAGGAAAGCAGGCTCAAGTGAAAGACACAACGCAGCAAAGAAATGGAGTCCAGAAAGAATAGATTCAGTGCACGGGAGACCCCAGACACCTTCCCTGTGATGACTCCCTAGAGGATTCTGACACCCAGCTACCTCCGTGGCTCAGACCTGTTAACCTTAGTTATTTCTTTACAGGTGTCTGTTCCCCGCTAGAATGAAAATTCCTAAAGATATGGTACTGGTTTATTTCCTGCAAATAATACCACAACGGGTGCAGGATTGTCATTCAACAGTACCATGTCACCTGAATGGCATCTGCCAGTATGCATCCCTGGAGAGGATCCCAGGACTGTGAAGCAGGAATAGAGAACTTGGAGCCAGATCATAAACACTCCAAATCCTAAGAGAGTTGATTGTTACAGAGAATGTATTCTGTTTTTATTCTGAGAGTTGGGTAGAAGACAGTAAGAACCCATTATGGAGATGAAGAGCAGCAGTGAACGTGAGAGACTCGGGTGAAGAGGATTTGTGCATTGCTTGGACTCCAGAGAGACCAGGCGCCGGGCATTCAAGAACTCATGTGTGTTCTGTCTTCCTGTCTTCACGGTGCTCCAAAGTCGCTGCTGCTATTTCACTCTAGAAATGAAGCTGAGGACCACTATAAATATGTTCCTATAAATCCTTAAGCCCAGGATTCCTCTTAGCCCCATCAGACTAAACCAACCAAACAAAAGGAATTTAAACAAAAGTCTATGGGGGACGACCCGGATGGAAGAAACGCTAGCACTGACCAGGAGGCACACTCTTATCCCAGCATTAGAGAACTCTGGTGCCCAGAGCAGAGCTCTCAGGGAACACAATGGCACTAACCCGGGGGCACGAATGTAAAGATGCAGTTCAACAGCTAAGCCTCAGGATGAAAAGTGTTGGGTGCCAGCTCTAAGTTGTGCGAATATGCATTGTTCCTGCTCTGTTTTATTCCATGTAGCTAGCACAAGAACAGAAATGTTTGATGACCTCTGCCTGACCTCAGTTGTACTTGAACTGTCCAGTCTTAAACAATCATGAAAGTTATAACTAAAGATAGCCATTTTCTCCTCAGAGGCATAAACCTGCTCTTGCTGGCTTTTGTATTTGATTTAACATTCCGTCCATACTTGAAGTCCTGTATTTGAATCTAACCTGCACTTCATCAGTTTAGGGATAACAGCAAGCATTGCTGGCAAGATGATGGAATCAAGTTATAGCCAAAGTTATGTCTTGCGGTCCAGTAACTTTGGAAAATATTTATAATGTGATAGAATATTTTTATGGAGGATAGAAAGAGGGAGTAGGAAAGGGGAAAGGAAAGGG